CAGACTTGTTGTTACTATCTTGGATACTGTTTTTTTTCTACCTGCTTAAGCAACATTCTATAGAGAGAGCAACATCTATGAATGCCTAACATTCTTCATAGGTTAAATCCTGTACAAGCTACATTGTTTGTGGTGTATGTGTGCACTGCAGTGTTGTATATGCCAACTGGTAAGGCACGTGTCCCGCAGAGTTGATATACTTTGGTAGGGAGAGTGAGTTTGACTTCTCCTGAGGCAGCTATTTACAGAGAACCATTGGCCTGGGATCAGGTCACCACCTTGTCTGTCATTTCTGACCACTGGGAACAAAGGTATATAATTTCACATCCATTTTTCGTGAGTTCAAATGGGAGGCTAGGTATTGGTACAGCTGTTCTCCAGATGTACTGATATTGCATTCAGCATTGAAGGTTAAAAAAAAATCTATATCTTCTCAAGTGTGGTGTGTTCTGTGAACTGAAAGGCCTTGTTTCTAGTTTTGACTGCCCCACGAGTGGTTGCTTGTAGTTTCTGAAAGATGAATACCCTCCCTCTGTACTGTGATTTCTGTAATTCTCGGTTGCAGTGGTGGAAGAGCAACGTTCCTGTGTGCAGATAATGTCTGAAGATCCACACAAAGTGCCTTCTAAATGACCTTCCTGCTCTCACTCAAATGATGAAGCTGAAAAAGCAGCATCCATTAATATGCTGTCCCATGCTGTCAAATATGCCATGTGACTCACAATTACACATGCACAGTTCTGGTGTAATCTGTGCTAATAAACTACTCAAAATCCTGAAATGGAGCTTTTAATTTGTGTACTTTTGCATGTGTTTTCCAATAAGAGAAGTTGCACTAATTTGGCTGTAACATTATCTGTGGTTCTAATTGGTATTAATCTTCAAAGTTTGCTGGAGCAGAGCATCTCTCAGCATTTGCTTTTTTCTGTATCCTTCAGCTTTATAATTTTTTTTATTTAGTAACTTGTTGGAAATAACTTGATACTGATGTGACAAGGATATCAGGACTTCTGCGTCTTCAGTGAGTGGTAAAATCTCCAGTGCATTTGCTTAACTGATTAAATTTAAGCATTGAGAAAGAGACAGAGAAATAATGGAAAAGGAGAGTGAACCCCAGTTGGTGGATTAGTAAAATCAGGTACAGGAAGAAAGATAGAGAGAGGGAAAGCAAGATTTGATTAGTGAGAGAAACTGAGAGGAACAGCAAGAGAAAAAGAATTTAAAAATCACCAGTAACAATCTACAATTCAAGTTCTTCCCTTTCTGGGCCAGTGAGGTTAATTGACATAGAATGAACAATTATCATGTTATTAAAAAGATACTTTCTCTGTTAATTGCACCCTAACTTTGAGCCTAATTTAGTGAGCAATTAATATGCACATTTTTAAAGCGAGTGGATAGTCAAGAGCAAGGTGTGCATTCTGGGCAGCAAAAGGTCAGTGCGTTAAATCCTCCTGTATGTTATGACAATTCACAACCCTGGATATCTCTTAATCCCCTGAATTTGTTAGTTTACTTGCCCAGGACTTAGCGGCATTATTTGTTAACACAACTTTGAACCAAGTCCTGGTATAATAACAGTGTCATAATATAGTGAATACCATGGTTTTTTGAGGTGATTTTTTAAAAAAAAAGTTTGCCATTCTGTATTGAATGTGATTTGGTAAAGCAGAAAAATAAATGTGTATCTTATACTGAGATAACAAGGTGTAGAGCTGGATGAACACAGCAGGCCAAGCAGCATCAGAGGAGCAGGAAGGCTTATACTGTTGTGTATATGCTCTGCAATGATTCTTGGAACTAATTGGACCTTGCTAAACCTGTACTTATTAAGGAGCACTCAGAAGATGGTCCCTTGAGCCAATAACTGAATATTTACCATGGGCCAATTAGATAACTACAAAGAAACTTCCTCTCTCACTATTTTCAAAAATATCAGAGACCAATAGCAACTGAAAAAGATTCAAGGATAGAAATTGAGGCGTTTTGCTGGAAAAAGGCTTGATTCTGGAATTGATCTTGAAGATTTTGAAGACCATAACATCCTTAAGGCCAGAAGATGTATGAGCAGAAGCAGACCATTTAGCCC